ACCGGCAGCCGCCCATACCGCACTCGCGCGCCCTGCAGGCACCGATTGCATCCCGCCGTCGGGTTTCCCTCGCACCCGCTTCCCAGTGATTTCCCTTCCATTTTGGCTATCTTAGGAGACAGTACGATTGCATCCCGCCGTCGGGTTTCCTTCGCACCCGCTTCCCAGTGCATCCCCTTCCACTTTGCCTATCTGAGGAGACAGTGCGATTGCATCCCGCCGTCGGGTTTCCTTCGCACCCGCTTCCCAGTGCTTCCCCTTCCACTTTGGCTATCTGAGGAGACAGTCCGATAGCGTCCCATAGCCAGGTTTCCCTCGAACCCGTTGCCTCTTTAATCCCTTTTCACTTGTGGCTACCTGTGAAGGCAGAGTCCGATTGCATCTCGACTGGTTGTTGGAGGCGGGGAAAGGAGAAACAATTTAGTTGGGGAATAGAATGGGATGCAATGGCCTTCTTTTCCTTCCACCTTCGAGAGGCTAATGGTCGGCCTAGGTAGAAATCAATTTCAATAAATGAATATTCCGTACAGTCGAATATCTCAATAGATTTTCCTTACTTTATCTCTACATTACAATGCAAAGTAATACAAAATTAATGTCAATAGGAGTATTTCTTCCTTTGTACTCCACATATGAAAGCCAAATGGATATCTTGAAAGTACAGATACCTGCGCAAGCTCGTATACTCACAAGGAAAATAGAATGAGATGCAATCGGTCTATATCTTTGTGGGGGGGGGGGTAATGAAATGTTGACGCGGGATGCATGTTCAGAGATAGTGTGGTCGAGGAGACGGGTAATGTCCCCCCAGTCGAATTTTAGGTGTTTTTTATATATTTTAGGTCTAAATTGTAATTTTTTATTGTGGCTGGTTTTCTGATTTTTTCAACTAATCCTTTTCAGATTTGAACGTTTCCCCAACCCCTGGGAATTTTTTCGGAATCACTGGATAGGAGTTCGCCCTCACTCGCTCCCACACCTCAGACGTCGATCGAGATATTCAATTTACTACAGATAGGTTAAAGTCTTGTATCTTAATATTCCATGAACAATTTTCGGATATGAATATTTTATTCTCGATTTTGTTGGGCTATTGCTTGTGTAATAAGAATTGCACATCATTTCACATTCTCACTTACGTTTATATTTTGCTTTCTTGTCGTGTAATAAAATGAATTTATTTAACAAAATTTTGGGAGGATAGAGATCAAAATTCTTTTGATCTCTCCACTCGATCGGCCACTGCCTCTGTCTCTGCCGTAGAAACCTACAAAGTTCTCACGTACAGTATATACGCACAATTATCTTTGGACGTAACTTTTAATGTCCGAAACTGCTGTTTTCGAAATAAATAAATCAATTAATTTTCCACAAATTTAATACGACTTAGTTCTTGCATGCTAAATACTTTTCCATGATTATTTTCTTAGCCCACTTCATATCCATACGTCGGGGATAAAATGTAATAAGTCGAACTGAACTGCTAACCACATTTGATGGCGAATGATCGGAGGTCATCTTGAGCTATTTTGGCTGTAGTAATTTTGCTTTTCCAGGGAGATAATTTGTCTTTATTTCAAACTAACTAATTCATAAAATATAAAATATTCATTCACTTATAAAAACATATTTTTCTCTCTGCATGGAATCCATTTATTAGTTTATTTGCTTGCGCATTTTTTGTTTTATTTTAATTTTTATAAGCGATGCTATAAATCAGAGGATAGAAATTTTTACACACGCTTAAATTTCACTCTTTTTACAATTAATAAGAATGCATTGACACAAAATTCTGTTGGTGTGCTATTGAATGCCTCTGAGTCCTGCAATAAACAGATTTGAGACGAAAAACATGGAACTTGGCACGGAACGGAACTTGTTACAGGTGGGAAATCGAATGTACATGCAACCCACTGTACACATTTCGTATGAACAAACATTACATGACTTGGAAATGAAGCGTCCTAAAGTCTTAAAACTGGTTTTTAAGGATCACGAGTTCTTTTTTTGTTAGCCATACTCTACATCTGCTGAGTTCTTTCGTTATCTGCCGAGACCTTTTTTGAAGTTTTATTAATGTTTTGGAAGGTTCCTTCCCATTTTTTGAAATTTTCCAGCACGTGTTACTTAAAACTGCTTGCTAGAATTTGGGTTCCATTAAGAACCTATTTACAATTTATATTATGAAACTTGAAAAAATGGAAACTTCTGTTACATCTGTGGAGATTTAGCTCATCTAGGTACCCCCACTCCTTAGTATATGTGGGTGATCGGAAACGAACATAATTCTACGTCTATGAAAATTAATTTGACGCGTCAACGGTTCCATCGTGACGGATCTATAATGATATTAAGTACAATTCAGGGGCTAGTGGTCTGAAGTTGATAACCATTATGAAGCTATTTTCACTTTAAAACAATGGTATACGAAGTGTGGAATGGTCGCATGGATTCAGTAAGTTATCGTTATTACTCCAATATTTTTTGAATTGTTTAGCTTTTTTTGAAGTATGACGTAAGGGAAATCAAAAATGCAAAATTCTAGAACAATCATTCGCAACCCTGTGTAATCTATGCCTTTTGAGAGCATTGACAAGTACCCGATAAAAATCATGTGTGTTTTCTACTTTGTTAATTTCACATAACATTTTTCATGTAGTTATCCATAAGCCGCATACATGATTTTGCTTGAGATGTACAGGCCCACGCAATTCTTGGTAATTCACTCTTGATCTGAAAGTGGAATAATTAATAATGAAATTATACTTGTTTTTTGTATGTTAGAATGTCTCTTATTTTTAAAGTAAGCTATATCGTGTTAGACGTGAATTTCGTAGTCTTTTATTTTCAACAATATTTTTCAAACCGGGGAAAATTTTGAAAATAAAAATAAATGTGAATTTTTTCCGTGAAGCATTTCAAACAAAGTGATGCCAAATTAAATATATTGTTTGAAAAATTCATCGGAATAAAATTATAACAATTTCTAATGATGTGCTAATCGCATACCGTTCACCTATTCAAAAGTTACGTGCATGCTCGTATTAATTTCGCAATATTATTCACACTTCAGCTAATACACATCATTCTGTGCCCTTCCGCTGTCTGTAAATTCAACCGTTACGTTAGCAAGAACACTGGCTCGATGACATTTGGAGATACGTTTGAATGGTACGCGAGACACGTTCAATCAGAACTCGAAATTAATATACGTTTGTATTTGATACTGCAAGCACGACCTGGAGGGCCACAGTCCGAATATGCTCTGATCGTAATTAATAGTAGTAATTGCAATCTGAAAGCGCGTTGATTAGCACAGTGAGGGCAACGTCCCGCTATAGAGGAGCTCTGACTGGCGGGCGATGGCCCCGTCCGCTTATGCCCCTCGCCCCGCCCTCCACCAGCCGGCCCACTCACCAACCACCCGCTCACCGTCGCACCCGCCCGCACGTTGTCTGATCCCCCGCCCGTTTTCTCACCCTCCGTCTCGCTCCCTCGGCCGCATGTCGTGGCGCCTGCACCGTGTCGCTCCCTACATCTGGTGGCCTTTCCGCGCGCGCTCCACAAGTGTCATTAGGCCTATCAATGGCCAACTCCTTTCGGAAGTTTCGCTATATCTACGCTTTGGAATTAACTCTCAATGTCATTAACATGTTACTGTAAGTATTTTTGCTTGCATTCCAATGCATTCAGCTGAAGGACGTTACTGTATGGGCGGAAGACATTTTTCTCTCTATTTAATTGCATGTTATGATATGTTTTTTCACTTGCTTCTCCAGAGATTCAGTTCATTGTGAAAAATTATTCAATAATGGTAATGTAAATAACGTTTCCGACAAATTCAACATGAACTATTTTAATGCGTAATTCACTTTTTTGTTTGTTGTTGGATACGTATAACTGTGTGTCTCAATGATGTTATCGACTTATAAGAATGATACGTGGCCATCGTAATACTATTTTAAGTTTTAACAGTTAGTCCCCCCCAGCTTCACGGCCCTTTTCACCTAGCGATACGAAGAGATCCCGCCTCACGTACGAAGATAGCTGACTCTGCTATCAGACCCTGCGAGTAGTCTGTGTAATCTAGCGCTCTATATGCACGACCTCATTCATTATTCAATATATATTTAAATAAGCCAAACATTGAAACAATGATTAATATTTTAGTCAATGAGGTTTCTTCGCTTGCTTTTAAGTTATTGCTTTTGCATTGCTTTTAAGTTATCGTATCTGCCCATGATTTGCTGAACTGGTTTGAATATCCGTTGAAATTGATTCTTTTTGATTGGGCTCATTTGTAGCAAATGAGTTTAGAATTGGAAGAGCGTGTCCAGACATCATTTTTCATGTACATTTTCACCAATATTTCGTATCGGGGACAAGCAACCTTGAGTTCACAACTCGTTTGTAATGTAGAAAGTGAAACGAAGCAAAAAAACAGAGAAGCGTTGTAAAGGGTTATTTTATTGTTACACATTCTTTTTTGTTAGTGACGTAATAAAAAAACAAAAACGACCTAAGGAATTACTTTCAGCTGCACAGCGTTAAAATATGATTTACTAGCCATTAGGTTAGTGAAACGTGCTCTTACCCAAACGAGGTGATGGGATTTTATTACAAAACACTTTCCTGCATGTGCGTGGCGATTTCTTGTGAAATTTTAATATAATTGCTTTTAATCTTTCTTCAATTACACCAGAAGAGTTTCTTCTTTCTTGTTGTCAGATGCAATGTTGTTTTGATAATATTTTGATTTACATGAATGAATTTTTAACTTTGGAAAAGTCATGGGGTTTAGTTAAATTTTATAAATTTTTCAGTAAAGAATAATATATATTTCAAGCTGTTGAATTAGATAACCTTTAAATATTTCTCATTCACAAGTCTGAAGATTGTGATCCAAATCGTATCTTCGCGCACCATAACAATTGAAACCTAAATCAACTAAGATGCGATTTCTTTTTTCACATCATAAATAATTTCCTATTAAAACGTAAATGGTGATATTCTCGAATGAACCTGACCACCGCTTCCCAGTACTTCCCGCAGCAATGCCAATGAGATCTCGAGGTAATGTCTCTTCTACTAAAAAAATCTCCCAAATAGTATGACGGAAGATCCGACATCGCGATGTCTGTAACGTAACGATGTCCGTCCCGATTGCGTGAGAGGGAACCCGAAAAAAGAGAATTGGGTTAAAGAAGATGAAAAACTAGTCCTTCCATGCTCACGAAGTACTGGACCAGTCTCATGTCCCTGGTCAGGGTCAGCCTCTTTTCTGCTTCTCGGCTGAGGCTTAGGTGTTGAAATGATCTTGGGATGCCCTCGCGCCGACATCGTTTTCACTAAATCAAACTGCGCTGTCAGCACCGCGCCGCGCCGCGTGTTTGCTCTGCTATTCCTGCGAGAAAGTTCACGGGCGACTGGCCGCCGAAGAACTAGTGGATTCTTTCAAAATCTCTTTGTGTGGACGCAACGTTATGCGCATTTGGTCTCCTGGTTGAGGATTTCATTATGATGACTTCCATTTGGAAACACAATAAAAATTCGTTATTTCTATTTATCGAGAGAAATTAGATGTCAAATGTATATGAACTTTCCCTCAATTTCTTTCATAGTTTATAATTAAATTATGTAATTAAATTTAAAAATGTGGATTCAATTAAGTAAAACACTGTAATGTCGGCAAACACGGTCTCCCTCAAATAATAACTTATTTACACTTCGTGTTTTTTCCTTATAATCTGATTTATCTTTGTTGTCACGCACAATTTTTGTCCACATCACTGTGACCCTGTTTCAACTCTTCGTAGTCTTAATTACTTTTATAAATTTACTTTTCTGTTCTTCTCACCTCGACCAATTTTATCCCGAAACTGCATACTTCCTAACGTGTTTAAGTGTCAAAGCCACAAATCATCTCAAAAACATGATGTTAAAAGTCATTTTACGCTTACTCTACAATCTGAACTCCTGTTGTCGAAACTGTTATGTGTAGTGGGGGATCCAAAATGGTGATATATGACCAATAAACCAATTTTTTTTGTTTTTCAACTTCCCGTAAAACAACTACATATTTTTGACAGCATTACATCCAAAGGAGTATTCTTATAATGAGGAGACATTTCAAGCTAACGATATTTTAAAAAGTATTTCAAAATTATTGAGGATGTGCCCGAAAGGAAATTTTTCCTCCCACCTTCAATACTTTCTGAATGCAACCCTGGTTATGTTCCATTACCCAAAATAATCGATTCCCTCTTTCACAAACGAATGAAAACGTAGATCTGTGTAAGGCAGACGCGCTGCATATCGAGTTCTCCAAGCGCGTCGTCCGCAGCCACAAATTCAGTCCGCGGCGAGGCAATATCAGCTCCCATTGGACCGGCGCGGCGCAGCGGAGCGATCGCCGATTACGTTGAACACGAGACTTCATATGTTCTCGGGCGCCGAGGGCGCGCCGGGCCAGGTTCCGAGTCGGATTATAAATGCGCGTTTTGCCGGTAGTGAAAGGCGTAATAGAAAGATAAAGCGCCTCCGCGTTTGGGATAAATGAAAGGAGCCATCGGGCGGGACTCCGCTGCGGTCTGGAGACGTGCGATGGCGCCGAGCGCCACATAGGCCTTCCGCCTTACCGCCACCGCCCGCCATTCATCACCTCACCGCCTCCGCCCCGCCCGCCAACCGTCACTAACCGATTGCCTAACCGCCAACACAAAGGGCCCGCGACCACCAGCAGCGCCCCGAGTCACCACGCACCACATTCTTACATGCTTCCGTGCGGCAAAACGCCATAAACCGTCTGTCATCACGCATTACCCAAAATCCGGTGCCGTCGCCTTCTCTGCCGCCCCTTTCGCCTCATTGCGTCACCATCTCCTCTTCCATCACCACCGTCGCCCCCACCTCTACCGCCACGCCGCCTCTTCCTCCCCCGCCACCACCACGGCCATCGCCAACACAGACCCCGCCTCGCCTCCGCCTCCGCCGCCAACGCAGCCACCCCCACCGCCGGTGCCGTTGTATTCGCCCACGCCGCCGCCCACTCGCCCTAATGGCCCTGGTGGCGGGGCACGCGCCGCTATGTATCGCAAAGCGAGCCGTGGCGACGCAGCGCGGCGGTGGGCGGCGCCGGCAGGGTCCCGCGCGGCTCTTCACCTCCCACCGCCGCCGCTCCTCGCAGATGCGCTGCTGCGGCGCGGCACACGCGGCAACTGCAGGCCCTCATCGGCGTCGCAGTATGCGCCCCGCGGCAGGGGTAGAAAAGAACGTCCTCGGGAAAAGAAGTATGTGAAGAAGGGGAACATTGTCGGTTGTCGCGTCAAAAAAAGGAAGTGTTCTCTTGCTTTCTAACTCTGTAAAGGATGTACACGTGGAGGTGAAACCCACTTAGCCGCTCGTCACCTGTGTAGACCGATTCCAAGTGATGACGCAATGTGTATAATGAGCGTTCAGAGATTACACACTGTTGGTAATTCTGACTATGAGTCTGTTCACCAGGGTCAGTCGCAGAGAACACAACAAGCCGTTTAAGGATAGAGAGAATAATCGTGCTTTCACATGCTATCCCAAATAGATTCTTCGACTCTTTTATATTTACGTCTCCAAGAGAGACGATTATCGTTTGGATGAAATTAGCTTTCGATGTCTGGAAATATTTAAAATCAGTAGAGACCCTGCATAATGTTAAAAGATCACAGATAAAATTTCATCTGAACTTCGATCCCCATTCAATTGCTACAAGCATCACAAGGAAAGTTGAAATTATTATGAATAGATAGACTGTTGTGACTTATCAGTGCCATACAGCGAAATGAGCTTTAATGCAGTTGCGTTACAGTGTCATTTTTTGGTGATATCTGTGAGTCAGTAGTGTTATTTAAATATGTCTGAACAAAGAAACATTTGCTCTAAAGTGAATGCTTAAAAACATTAAAACTATACACCTTGAAAGCTTTTAATGTTATTTCAGATTTACCTAAAGGCTTGATCGAATTAATCATCTATTCGCACTGAAAAAGAAGAAATGATTCAATTAACGCGTTTTCTTTTCTATCGGGCATGATAGAGTCATTCTTATCACTAAAAGTACATTCTGTGTTCAGTCGTAACTGCATCAGTAACATCGATCACTAGTTCCGCAACTGCCTATGTATGCACACTAAGGTATTTTTGCAATTATTCATCGCTGCGCGTTCACTGTCAATAATTGAACGGAGTGACAAGGTAATTTCACTGCTGCTCCTATCTCGTCCTTCCGAGACTGAGGAATAAGCAGTGTGTCGTTCGATTCAATTAGGATTTTATTGGTCCACTTTGAGTGAAATTGGTCGTTTGCAGCGATTAATTAAGATTGGACTTTAGACCGCCCTACCAATTAATTACGACAGCTCTTATTGGAACATCGGCTTCAAATATTCAATAAATCAGAATTGGGTGTTTCGAAATCGTCCTGTCATTCCTCCAAACTCACAATAAAATTCTACGTACTTTATATATGCTTTTATGCCAGAAGAACTAACGACTAAAAAGTCCATTGAACGTAAAATCTACAAGTTTATCTTCCAGAGTGATCTTATGAGCATCCTTTCCGAAGCATATAAAATACGAGTAAAAAGTTTCGGTGTTGTTTTTATTCTGCTCTTTATTTATCTCATTTGCCACCGAAATCTTTGTACACAAAAATATCGTTCTGTTAGAATGAAATTCCGAGAGCGTTAGAGAAGATATGGAAATTACGATGTTCATTAGCATTTTATAGACTGATAATCAAGGCAAAATACGGAGTCAATTATTTAGGTAACGTCGTTATTCGCTTGAGTTTAGCAACCACGCGAAAATTCTACTCATTATTTTTTTCAATGTTCCATTGCTTTTATTCCAAAACAGAAATAATCACACCATCCCTCTCATTCTCTTTGAGTACGACTCACTCTCCCTCTTTCCATTACACATACAATACGCGTAGTAACACATGATCTTGACCTTCATGGTTGCTTTGTCGGAGCCTCCGAGGTCGCAGTCAGTCGCCTCACTTTCCATCCCTAGGTGTCGGGGTTCAAATCCTGGGCATCGCATGTGTAATTTTGAGATAGACAAAATGGGTTCTTGGCTGTTTTCTCTGGGTTTTGCGTTTTCCCTGCTTTTCATTCCACTTCATCTCCATCACCATCATAATTACCATGCACTACAACTATTTCGCCTGCCTCCGCTCTCATTACTCTTGCGTACTACTCAAGGTCTCAAAATCGCTTATTATTTAGCGGCACGGAATAAGCCCTTGTGAAACTATAACCACTGTTAATCCATCCGCAATCAAGCCATTGGGTGAAAAGAACATGAGTAATAATGTGGCCCATTTGCTTATGTTGCTTCCGCAAGTCACTCGAACTACAGCAAGTAGGCAAATTTGCTCCCGTGTTCTAAAGTACTATCTCTGTCGGTTCCTAATTTATTGTAAGAGTGAGTTCCTACCAAATACCAAGTATAAAATTTTGTAGATTTCGACAACTACCAGCTGAAGTAGGTTACATGTAATAGTGAAAATGAACACGTGCATAAGGCCTGATTATTTAGACTTATAACTCTTATTTACCCGAATTTCATCCGCTGTAAGAGTTAACTACCCTGGAAAGTGAACAGTGTAAAAGCGATACAAAAGCGAGCATGCGCGTGTGGGGCTCACGTGTTTCTCGGGCTGCCACGTGCCTCCGCCGACCCGGCGCCTTCGGGCGGGCCCGCAGGGAATGCCGGTGTGGGAATAAACGCGGGAATCTCGCCAAGAAGCTGTCGGGGAGCGACACCAGCGCAAGGGATAACGACGTTGCTATGTGATATCGCATCTCGTATTCGAAACGCTATATCCACTACAAAACATAGATGTTTCAAAACATCGGTGTTCAAAATTGAAACACAAATGTTGTTAATACATTGCCTTAAAAACCGATGTATTTAAACATTGATGAATTAGGAGAAATTAATTTGCGTTTATTAGTTTATAATTAAGATTTAACTGACAAAAGAAACTAAACGGTATAAGAACAATTAACAAAAGTGAGCGTGAGCAAGAC